ATATTTGGCATTGCATAGTATCGCACGACAATGCACGAGGAAGTATGATCGGTTTAAACCGACGTATCATGGCAAAACAGAGAGACAGAGACACGGAATACGTCAGAACCCAAGATTGAAAAAGTAACAGGGCAAAGAACAAATAAAAATATATGATTGTGTGAAACGAAACTACATTATGCAGAACTAGGTCAAACAGCGCTGTGTAACAGCTCTGAGGTATCTGAGAATGCAAACTAAGCATCGTTTAAAAGACCTCTTCCAAATTTCCGTCCGACAACGATATTGGCAAACGGGGATATTTCATGGGTGCATGCAGGGAGAAACATCCTGAAAAGACGACATCTAGAATCTGAAACTGAAAAATGTATAGAACGGTTTATTTATGCACAACGCAGGCGAGTAAACTGGTTAATCGGGTGACTGACCAGTACCCACGTTTGGCTCGTCTCTCATGAGCTTTCTTCAGGGTGGTTGTTCGGGTTGAAGACCATTGAAATCTCTTGTTCGGCGCTGTTGTCGCATCTGGAGCCAAAGGTGTGCTTTTCGCCCGTGCTGCTGGTTAAGTAGTTTTTGGGTTAAGGGTTTGATAACGCTTGTCCAGTGTATAAATAAATTTAATAAGTATTTTATGCATTTTCAGTTTTCAGTATAAACACCAACACTAGAACAGATTACTCAATTTTAAGACGACACGTAGAAATATGAAGTGATTTTCAACGTTATTCTCATACGGTGTAAGAGTTCGCATGAGTCGCTGAGTCTACAACTTGCAGTGAATTGACAAAAATTTAAGAGATCAGCTTATCGGCAGAAGGTCATAATCCAGCAAACAGCAGAAATCAATCGCTAATACTAATAGATCTTTTCACTGTGTATATCCAGAAGCACCCTCAACCAACCTATCACTATTTTAACGACGTACTGAAAGGACAACGAAGGTACGTTTGCAGCTTTGCACCTCGTTCAACGTTAGGGTTGATAACCGAGCGTGAAATATAACTATAATATAACAATATACAATATCATAATCGAACTCAACCTATTGCACGATTACACATGTGTCATATATAGTTGAGCACATTCGGGTGTCTGAGAAACGTACAAAATGGGCAAATGTCTATCTGTATAGAAGGGTTATGGCTTCTTGATATTGTCGATACCATTTTCGTAATAACTCCTGATAATCGCATCTTTCCTTTGCCTGATTTCTGCTCTCGCAAGCACACCGGTGATGATGGCGCAGTTCTACGCGGTCGACTTCGAACTTCAGAGGTACAGGGTTCGAACCTCCGTGTATAACGTTTCTTAGCTGCCAGTTCCATCGGGCAATTTCCCAGCGTTAGATCGTTGCAATCAAGGGAATAGGGTAGCATGGTATTTTGCTGTAGTTGTACCAGAATGACCGAGAAGTACGGCCTTGTTGCCTTGTCTGATGCGAGCGCCTCATAAGGCTGCCATTCGCCTAGAGACGGCTGACTATGCAGTGCAATAATTGCTATACAGGTGTAGGCATTAAAATATTTAATAAACAGGTATGATCAGTTTACACATGATTCGTTCAAACTCTCTCATAAATTGACTAGCTAACAACGACGAACTCATTGAGAGTGTAGTCTATTTCGCCAAGAAAAGCTGCATGCTCTAGCTTTAAACAGGATCGCGTAGACCTTAAGCAAAATCTGAATTTTGTTCGGTTACAAACTAATTACGCATTGCAATTCTTTCATTGGTATGTGCTTATGTAAAGATTTTTTCGGTAAGTTCAGGGCTTACAGTGTCCTCATACCAGTCTGATCAGGAACTGCGGGGTCAATATCAGAGCAGAAAAGTTTGAATATAATTTTTGCATTACAAGGCGTTTTCTCAGCGAGGTTGTATTGAAGATTATAACTATATTAGACACGTAATATGGCTTCGTATATGGAAATAATGCCAATTTTCGATTTTCAGGTTCCCCTTGGTTGGCGTTCGTCTCATGCCTTGTCTTACGTATCGTACTGACTTTTCTACGATCCTTCTATGCTTTTTAAACAAGGTGATCACTCTGATGCTACTATTTGATTTTCGCTGGCGTATTCCAGCTGAGACCAACCGATTAGTAACAGAAAGTGGCGACCGTTATATGCTGATATATCATTACCCTGCAGTAGATAGAAACGAAATGCGCCGATACTTCTAACCAGGTAGGACTTCATGGCAGTTGTTGGGTTCGCAGAAACAAGTTTGTGTGAGTTCAGTAGACGATGATGTGAGCGTGTGATTGACCTGTTTGTCTTACATGTCGTTCTGCAGCAGTGTTCCAGTCGAGAAGTAAAAAATCACCAATTATCCGTCCGTCACTAGTGCACTGGAAAGCCCTAGCGCTGTAATAAGGCACGATGATGCCAACCCCTTATCACTGGGCAGACGCCACTGAGTCAGACGAAAGTGAAACAAGTCTGAAGCTAAGAACGACACGTTCGCTGACTGGGCAACTTTCAGTTGATTGACCTTTTCAAGAATCTCAATTTGACTATAATAAGTTTTATAAATTATTTTCAGGACTAATCTACCGGACGAGTTAATCACTCTCCACTGGAATATCACTTCTGTTGCATGGTTGTTGTTACTGGCCGTTGTCATTGCCACGCACCAGTGGTTGAGCTTGAAGGTCTGTTTGGTTAAAGCGGTCCCTTCAGAGAAAACATGAGGTTCCGCGATGGCATTTTTACGACTAAGTAAGCCTAAGCCTAAGTTTTAAACAAAATTTGACTTATACTTCAGCTCTCACCGCAGTATGAAAACCTGAGGCATTAATTCAATGTATTCTGTTCCGTTTAGATATGTAATGACTGTAATAACGTTGACTCAGCTCTGGGAAAAGTGAACAGAATATGTGATGAAACTGATGGCGTGGAAGTGAAAGGACTTCGCAGGCGTAATCGGTTCAGAATTTCGTTTCACTCACACATTTAAATAAATTGAGTTTCATATGGTTTCAATGGATGCAGCCGGCTATTCCAGCGGATTGTTCACACGCTACTGCAGCATATGCAAACATGACTTACTGCATCTTGAAGTTGCAAAGGCTATCAGATACACATGGCGAAAAGCGGATGCGGAGGTAACCATTCCAAATTAGTGCTGCTGATTGATCGTTTTTTCTGACCTGGCACACGGTGGCAAAACATTGAGATATTAAACATATGTCAAGGGTGCAATTCAATGACTGGAAAATGAGCTGCAAAGTTCAAAGGGTCTTTAATCTAAATTTAGATATGCCTTCTTTTGGGGGCCTTGCAATGAAAATTATTTATTTTCTTACCTGTAAATTCTGCAGGACAGGACTTGAATCAGGCAGAATGTTAACGTTTCTTATCAATAATTAATATCCTTGAATGGAGTTGCGATATTCAGTATTTATTAATGCTACAGATATAGTTGGCTTCGTAGAATATTTTCTTCAGTTCATATCCGAGCATACATTTGCCGGACACAACACTGTGACGCGCTGCGTATTCATGCACTACATGATTTAAATTATCACGGAGTTGTTGTCCGCTGCAGGACTCTGTAATCTGCTAGAATCAACGGGAAGGTGCGATTAAGAAGTTGAATTGGGATTAGTGGCTGGTGATTGAATGGACAAATAGGCCGATGAATGAATGCACGGTTAGCACGAAGCGAAGTACTGTATGAAACGCTTACGGTATTTTGGAAAATTCATTATGCACGTCGTTCGCAAGGAGAGAAATCTTTAATAATCATTATCATATGAATAATTTTCTTTAAAGGCAATCAGATGTTTTCGATTCTGAACCAACTATGGGGATTTTGGATCCTTTGCTGATTTGTGGTTGAGGCCATCAAACAAAGCCAATGACAGAAAACGTTTATTACAATGTCTTTTGCCTTGATACCGATGGTATCATCGAAACAGCAGCCTTGTGCTGTGAACTGAATATGCTACGAATGTGATCGCAAATAACTTTGGCAATGATAACTTGCATGTTCGTTTGATTTC